TAATCCGGGCTTTTGATCGTAAATTCGCTTCAGAAGCCCTGGGATTAAGTAAAAATAAATTGCGCATTCTGGCAAGAGCCCTAACTGGACACTGTTATCTTAAAAAGCACATGTCCATCCTGGGACTAAGCAACTCAAGGATGTGTTGGTTCTGTTCCATAACGGAACATCCTAACCGATTGCGGACCCTTAATGCGCAAACGTAACACTCATCTGAGACACTATTTACTCCGCCCAGAAGAAGTGAAATTGCTCACGGCTAAGCAACTCCTTCGATTCATTGAAGACATAGGGCTTAGCAGTGAACTATAGCCATAGCAGCGATCACAATAGATCTTCTAGGTCGCAGTGATACTGGTCTCTTTACCTAGACCTGCATAGCTGCTCGCACATAAAAAAAAGCCGAAAATGAACCACACATCCGCTTAATCAATAATGAACATTATCGAAGCCTGAATAATACAAAAAAAATACAAAAATATTTATTCATAACATAAGTCTCATTTACGAAGTTAGATACCTCACCTCACTCTTATGTTTGAAAAAACTTGTATTGAGATGAGTCCGCTATTGCTCTAATTAGTAAGTCATGATAGTGTTACGAGCTTTAAGGTTCGTGACAATAAAAACTGCCGATTGAATTACCAAAATTGGCACTTTAAATACCTAACATCAATTATAACTTAAACACACTAATAATTAATCACACTGAACTCTTTAGTTCGCAGTTATATCACTTTGAATAATACACTTGCATCGCCAATTCAATACTGACCCGGGTCGTGGTATAAGACGGCCTTATCCTTTATTGCGGTGCTGCAACCTCCCTGTGGTGATGGGAACGATGATCCCTCCGCACGGATTCCACCTCACATGGGCCAAGGCGTCCTTAAGCGTCTCGTAGTGCCCGATCCTCACAGCAGCTCTGACTTCAAGGTCGCGATTGCCGTCGAGGAATGTCTGCACCAAGTTCTCTGCAATAAGGACAGGTACAGACTGGTATACTTTTCGACCCAGCTTCTTCACTTCAAAGGCCCACTGCTGCAGATTGTCGTTGCTACGGTGCACGCGATCCTGCCTCCAATGCCTTAACAATCTGTTCGTAAGTCACTTTCTTACCGATGGCTTCCAGAACAGTTAAGGTTTGGTCGTGCAAACCTAGGGTGAGAGCAGTCATGGCCTGAATTTTATTCCAGCCGTTCGTCTCCATGACAACCTCAAACGGGACTTTGTAGACCGACCAGGAATAAATCGAACGGCGGCACTTTGAATCCACGTGGTGAAGGTGTTGTAGCTACTACGGGAGCTGTAATTCCTTCGCCAGGTTTGAGGTCGTCCAGCGTTTTTTTTACGTCACGTTGTCAACCCGATTGTTCACTTGTTGGATTCGGGTTTCAGCTTCCGACAGTCAGTTGTCGTATTGAGCAACTCTATCTTTCACCTCCCTTATCTCTTTCCTAAAGGTAACGTGAAGGTTCTTCATGAGGAGCATCTGCTCTTCCTTATCGCGTTTTAGCTGCTCTTCCAAACAACGGGCATGTACCTCCTATCAGTGGGCCTGTTCTTCCTGTTGCTTTTCCAACTAACGAGCCTGTTCCTCCTGTCCGCACTGCAGCTGTTCTTCCAACTGATAGACCTGTTCCTCCTGCCGGTGAGCCTATTTCTCCTGCTGCTCTTTCTACTAACGAGCGGTTCCTCCTGTCGACGGGCCTGCTCCTGCAGCATTATCATCGGCCTCCGTGGCCATCAGCTGGCCCTGCGACGTTTTCGGCGTTGCATCACCAGTTCGTCTTTGGTCCGTCTCCTGCTGGCATTGACTTCGGGTACAGACACCTTCCGTGTCGTCCTTCGGTAAAATCGGCATGAGTTGATCCCACTTTTGACACCAATTGTTACGAGCTTGAGGGTTCGTGACAGTAAAAACTGCCGATTGAATTACCAAAATTGACACTGAAATTGATGTATATACGCTTGCAATGCCAATTCAATATTGACCCGGTTCGCAGTCTAAACCGGCCTTATATAGGACCTTTTCTACTGGAACATCTAGAATGTTCGAGTACATACCGGTACAGACCGACTAGGTGTCGAAAATTCTCTCCTAATTCTGCCACTCGATACTAGATGGCGCTATTGGGAAAGTTCTAGTATAGAATTTTCTAGAAAGCTCTCCTAGTTCTGCTACTCGTTACTAGACTGGCATTAATTATGGCTTGCAACAATAGATATGACTTGTCTTACACAAAGATAAATCAACAGACATAAGTAACAATAATTATAATAGCTGTGTGTGTGTGTGTGTGTGTGTGTGTGTGTGTGTGTGTGTGTGTGTGTGTGTGTGTGTGTGTGTGTGTGTGTGTGTGATGTGTGTGTGTGTATGTGTGTGTGTGTGTGTGTGTGTGTGTGTGTGTTGTTGTGCGCGCGCGCGCGGTGTGTGTGTGTTGTGTGTTGTGTATGTTGTGCGTGGATGTGTGTGTGTGTGAGTGTGTGTGTGTGTGTGTGTGTGTGTGTGTGTGTGTGTGTGTGTGTGTGTGTGCTTGGTTGTGTGCGTGTATGTGTGTGTGTGTGTGTGTGTGTGTGTGTGTGTGTGTGTGTGTGTGTGTGTGTGTGTGTTTGTGTGTGTATGTGTGTGTTTCGTTTCAATCTATACATAAAACAAAATAATAAATGTAATATAATAAGATAAATGAATATATATTTCATACGAACAAACGTAATGTTACGTGTTGTGGGTAATGATTCAGTACTGTCATAGTCAAGCTGTTTCAACCAACTTGACTTGAGTTTCCCATTTAATTTATTATACAATAAGTGAGATTGTGAATTGAAATTTTATGAGCGCATTTTGTTTCAACAGTTGGGTAGGAAACGACAGAATAGGGATTACGCTTACTTAAGATTTTATGATCTGGGACAATAGTTTAATGTATTTTAAGAATAAATTTTAGTATGTAAAGTTGTCTTACAGTTAAAACATTGCAGTCACGATATAGTTAGAAGTCCCCGAGTAATTTTTTTGAATGTTAAAACTTTAAGGAGTTAGCGTTGAGCCCTCTCAATTTTAATCATTTTGGTTTTGTGGGGTCCCGCCCATATTGGCAAGTAATATAGAATGATGTATTGTACAAGAGCAGTATAAACGTATGTAATAAGTTGTTTGTCGGCGACGTATCTTATGTATTTGACCAACCACAATAGCTTTCTGACTCCGTGGGTGCAAGAGTTGATTTGTTTATGCCAATTTAGTTGTTGATCGAGATATATCCCCAAGTATTTTGTGAAACTAGCTTTTCCAGGGTTTGGCAGTTACATTTAATTGATCTGTAAGGGTTTTCACATGAATGGGCGATTAGATGAAAATTATTATTGGGTTGCGAGGAATTTTTGATTGCAAATGTTATATGGTTTGTTTTACTAGCATTTAAGGTAAGAATATATTGCTATGTAACCATTTCACATCAGTATGTAGGCCCTTGGAGGCTGACTCATGGACTTCATCCCATCTGGGTAAGTAAAAGTTTAGTTTTAAAAATCAGAATTTTTGAGATGACAAAGAGAACGTAAAGTGGCACTAACTTAACGGCTTATTTCAGCAACTTGAATTTCCCAGCTTAAGGTATTGTCTATATGTAAGTCAAGATTTTTGACAGATTTACATAATAGTAAAATTTACATTGTAAATTACGGGCGAAAAAATAAAAACCATTCCAAATCTGGGATTGAGAATCAGGGCAGGCAATGTGAGGATTTTGTCGACGACTGTGTTAAAAGCATTGGAAAAATCAACAAGCACTATCACTGTAAGTTTTTGCTCATCCGTTTCTAACCTAATGTCCTCTGTGACATTTATCAAGGCAGTGGTAGTAATATAAAATAAAAAAAAGCCTTTTATTTCGTTTGATAGTAATATGACCTGCGCGAAAGCCTGAGTGATATCTTATTCAGTAGGCTATGTATCTATTATGTCGTTGTAATATAGAGATTTGCTTATGAACACCGGCTTCCATAACTTTAGATAGGTATAGCAAAGTTGAAATTAGTGGAAAATGGGTGGGCAGTAAGGGATTGGGATTAGTATGTCTCCAAAAATACACTCTATCGATTGTTTACTTCTTGTACCTTTTTGTAACGTTTTAAGCTTATTTATCACAAGTTATGAATTAATTTGCTCAAATAATCATCCATACTCGATCAATTATGTCATTGTTCCCATTTTCAGGAATGACTTAAACACGCTTCTAGACTGCTTGAATGGTTCTAAAATTTTAATACTTTTCTAAAAGTTTAGTTAATTTTTGTTTGTGGTACTATTATAAAACTACAATCAGTGCATTCATTTACTTTCACATGTCTTTAGAGCAAAGTAACCAGCAAAACTGGTGTCGTAAGTTCACGAAGGTTTACGTTGGGAAAACCTAGAAATATCTGATGGTTTCCAATAGATGGGCAGTACAACCAAGTCTTTTACATCAGATGTAAAATACAAATACCAATAACCAGAGCAGCGTCAATTGTACGATTTCGCGAAGGCCGTGAAATATCGTAAAAGTACCTTATTGAATTGTAATTATTAACTTCACTTGACAAAGTCTTGTTTCGTTTAATGCACCGTGCATAGCTTAGCGAAATTCATAAGCTTAAGGTACGTTTATTTATAAGATCATAACGATCTCGACGTTGTTCCTAAGCTTAAGCTGAGGAACGTTTATTAAATTAGAGCCAGATATATGACTGCTTTTTAATGTTTTTCTTTGATACTTTCTCTTTATGTTTACTTTTATTATAATTAGAACCTTTTTTAAGCAAATAAAATTATTTTTCCGTGCCTTTTTTTAAGACTTCTACACGATTCTCGTTTGTTACATTTTTAAAAGATATTTGATATTGCTTTGAATAAATTTTTATTTTAATTGAAAAATATGCTATGAATACTCATTTTAACAACTCCGATAAAAGTATTTAAATTATTTAATAAATGTACATATTATTAAAATACTTACGATAATCTTTCTTTTTAAAATGATTTTGTTTTTCGACCCACTCTTGTAAAATATCGATAGCTTGATCCATACTTCCTGGCGTATCCAAATTGTAACTCTTACGTGTAATTTGAATTGTATCTTTATTAAATTCAAGCAGAGTGTTCATCGGTAACGAATCCATTTTTCAGCCACCTGCCTAATTGACACACCACCTGATAATCTGAGCGCTAGATAACTACTAAATCAATTTTGCCTCGTTGTTTAATAATGAATGGAATTCCCACAACTAGTTTTTTTTTAACATTAAAACGGAAATTTTACTAGTGATAACTAAAACAAAGAAGTCATAAAAAAATCAAGGTTCTTACAATAAATAAATCAACTTAATAGTGACATGATTATTGCCAGTAAATTTGTTGCGTTAACAATTAAAATCAAAACTCTAAATCACAACAATTTATCGAAGTTAATTGTTTAATACATAACATAAATTTATTTGTTATCAGCAACAAATATACGAAATCTCATTACTACACGGATTGACTGGCAAAGAATATTGATGGACAAAGTCCGCCTTTAGTTACAATATTTTTTACGGTGTTAACAATAAAATTTAAGATAATTGATAGAATCAGGCGTTACTTTGCGGAAATTCATTATAATAAAGATATTAATTTCCTGGAGTAGTGGTGTTGAGAGTAGTGGTGCCGGGAGTAGTGGTGTTGCGAGTAGTGGTGCTGGAACTAGTGGTGACGGGATTAGTGCATGCAACTGAGGGAGGGCGGGAGGTGCTCTTCAGTACAGGCAAGACACATCATTGTATTTTTGAGCGGATGGTTATGAATTAAATATCTATATCTTTCATAAAATTTAATTCAATTAATAAAAAAACATCATCATTACTATCGTCAATATACTGGCTGTTTTATAACCGTCTGGAAAAAATAGGGTGTCTGTTACACCCTATTTTTTGTAAACGGAATATAAGCCTATGGCAATGATATCTTATTTTTTTTATTTTACATTAACTTATTATTAAATTGATCTATCAATAAATATTGCTAATTGGGTACGTATTATTTTAATATCGATATTTTTAATTGATTTATTTATTTAGTTAAAATTTTTTCTTGTAATTTTTTTATACCAAAAGTTTCAAATTAGTAGAATTTGTCGATAGATCAATTTAGTAATATGTCAATGTAAAATAAAAAAATGTAAGATATCATTGTAATAGGTTTCTATTCCGTTCACTTGTTGCACCCTATTTTTTCTAATTATTATTATATTGCTAATAGATAAAATGAAGACAACTGATACTCGTATATATTCGCTGTTAACTGTGGGACTCATCTGTTATACTCTATCCAGTGACCTCGGTAGTCCAGTAAATATATTAATTTAAACCCTTATTCACTAATAAATTACTAAGTTATCCATCTAATTTCTAATTTTTATTTGTTTTCAGTCTTACGGCGCCTTTACACGTTGGCCAACACAGTGGCGAATGTAGTGGCGAAGATATTGGCCATGAGTTTGTGACGGCGTCCACAAGTTGGAAGGTCGTTCAGTTTTCTTTGGTTCGGGCCAATGTGCGGACGAATTTATTTTCTCCGTGGCGCAGTGGCTTAGCAATGAGTGGCTGCACCGGAGGCCGCGGGTTGGAATCCCGCACGGGATAAGCATTTGTATGTCCTACAAATAATTGTTACGGGTGTAGCGGCGCTGTCGTCGCCGCCACAAGCGAAAACACACCGAAGCCTAAATCGCGCTATCAACATTCCGAATCATAAACAGTATATATAGAACATCTCCGAACTATCACACGGAGTGTGAGCCGCTCCCCCGAGCAGAACACCTTGCCCGGCGGGAGATCTCCCCTTTTCCTTCCACGGCCACAGTGGTGACCCCGACGTGATCTGAACACGCAACCAAACAACCTTCGGAAACTTCAAGTTTCATGATCGTCATATAATACCCCACACGTATCGCTCCCGAGCAGATATCGTCTGCAGTCTTCATATCCTGCAAGCCATCTAGCTTCACAAGGTTCATCGCAGCATTGGAATAATAATGCTTCCTGTTCCTTCAAGCTACTCTCTGCGCTATACAGTGTTCGGCACGGCTCTGAGCCTTACTGCTCGCCTCTGCTTCACGGCACTTTCGCAGATTACTTGCCTTCTTCTCGAATTACCGCAAACTACAAGGCAATCCACTGGCACTTGCACATTCGTCAGCAACAAGGCTGCACTAACGACCTCCGGTCTGAGCAGGGGGGTGATGTAGCGGCGCTGTCGTCGCCGCCACAAGCGAAAACACACCGAAGCCTAAATCGCGCTATCAACATTCCGAATCATAAACAGTATATATAGAACATCTCCGAACTATCACACGGAGTGTGAGCCGCTCCCCGAGCAGAACACCTTGCCCGGCGGGAGATCTCCCCTTTTCCTTCCACGGCCACAGTAGCGAATGCGTGGGGTACTCTATGACGATGATGAAGCTTGTGTGGAACTTGATACCTCTATTTCGCACTTAGAAAAAGAAGATGCTGAGGTGGTGTTTTCTGCTCGCCAGAAAGTTGCAACTCTCAGCTCCTGTTTTGCTCAACTGACTCATAAAGCTCTTACTATTTTTCAAAACAGTGCCAAATTGGAGGCGGAGCTAGTGGATATGAGAGCGGAGTTGGTGCAGGCGCGGGCTGCTGTTGTTGGAAAATGCAAGGAAGGCGGAGATGGAATCGGCCGCATTACGGAGACGACGCGAGCCCGGGCCGAGGCGGCGCAACTGGCTCGAGAGAATGCTGCCCTTCGAGACACCGTGCTGTCCTTGTACTCCGAACTCTTCGGTGCCAGGTTGGCCACAAAGTATCTAGATAAAGAACTGGCTGGCAGGATACAGCAGCTGCAACTTCTCGGCAGGGACATGCGGTCAGAAGTTCGAGATTCACTTTGGGCGCAGGTGGAGGCGGAGATCCTGCTGCAGCGGCACAAGACGCTGGTGCGCGTGTGCCGCGGGCTGTCGCCGCGGCCGCCGCGTCCGCGCGCGCCCGCCTCGCGCCCGCGCACCGTGCGCGTGCGCCGCTCGCCGCACCTCGGCCTCGGCATCTCCGTCACCGGCGGCCGTGAGCACGGAGTGTGAGCCGCTCCCCGGGCAGAACACCTTGCCCGGCGGGAGATCTCCCCTTTTCCTTCCACGGCCACAGTGGCCTCCAGTGAGCAGGGAGGTGATGTAGCGGCGCTGTCGTCGCCGCCACAAGCGAAAACACACCGAAGCCTAAATCGCGCTATCAACATTCCGAATCATAAACAGTATATATAGAACATCTCCGAACTATCACACGGAGTGTGAGCCGCTCCCCGAGCAGAACACCTTGCCCGGCGGGAGATCTCCCCTTTTCCTTCCTCACCGGCCACAGTGGTGACCACCCGACGTGATCTGAACACGCAACCAAACAACCTTCGGAAACTTCAAGCTTCATGATCGTCATATAATACCCCACACGTATCGCTCCCGAGCAGATATCGTCTGCAGTCTTCATATCCTGCAAGCCATCTAGCTTCACAAGGTTCATCGCAGCATTGGAATAATAATGCTTCCTGTTCCTTCAAGCTACTCTCTGCGCTATACAGTGTTCGGCACGGCTCTGAGCCTTACTGCTCGCCTCTGCTTCACGGCACTTTCGCAGATTACTTGCCCTCTTCTCGACTTACCGCAAACTACAAGGCAATCCACTGGCACTTGCACATTCGTCAGCAACAAGGCTGCACTAACGACCTCCGGTCTGAGCAGGGGGGTGATGTAGCGGCGCTGTCGTCGCCGCCACAAGCGAAAACACACCGAAGCCTAAATCGCGCTATCAACATTCCGAATCATAAACAGTATATATAGAACATCTCCGAACTATCACACGGAGTGTGAGCCGCTCCCCGAGCAGAACACCTTGCCCGGCGGGAGATCTCACCTTTTCCTTCCACGGCCACACGGGTATGGATGTGTGTCGTTTTGCAATTTATGTTTGTCAGCCGTCAGGCTGATATTTGGTTTTACGTACCTAATAAGAAGTACTTTATTTTAGTCATATAATATAAATCAGGGCATAAACGGGAATTTTATTTATTTATTTAGCTTTATTTTTTCCTTACATGCATCATAAACTGGAATAAATATCATTAATTAGAACTTAACTTATTTTAAAGTTAAAGGAGTTATAATTCGTCTATGTTTTAAAATTGGGATTTGATTTTAAAGTTTAGTAAAAGATGTACTTGCTTTTATTTCAGACATTCGATATATATAAAAACACCTTATAATTTATTTCATAATTTGATTCTTTTTGAGAAAGACAAAAACAAGCAATAAATATAATTAACATTGACCACTGACTTAATAAATGGTACTAATTATAACTTAGAACATAAATGAAAAACTCATGACAAGGAAAGTGGCTCAGGACCATGTTTTGATGATGATGATTCGAAAATTTGCACGATTAAATTATAAGAAATTGACTTTTTTTATATAGGATAGGGTGACAAACGAGCACACAGTTCACCTGATGGTAAGTGGTTGCTGTAGCCCACAGACATCTACATTTATCCTCAATTACGAATCAAAATGCAGATGCGTTGCACCCTTGAGGACTAAGATGGAATGCTTCGTTTCCAGTAAAAAGGGTCTCCGGTTCTCTACACTCACCATACGAAATACAGCAGCATAAAGCTACTATTTTACGCAGGTATTCTGTGAGAGCGTGGTTCCTCCCCTGTCGAGCCGACCCATTCGTGCCACAACTATACCTTTAATATAACTGCAGCATGGCTCTATCACGTATAAAGGACGTATCTCATTTTTTCATTTTAAAATTGTTCTGATTGTAAATAAATGTTCATTATTTTTTTTGATAAATAGCTTATCCATTAAAACAAATGTTTAAAAATAAATAAATCGCGTTAATTAAAGTAGTAGGAATGTTTAAAGTTGAAATTGGCACTAAAAGGCTGGTAATAGGGGCATTCACCCTACAAAGCGTGAATATAAAATTTAAATCAGGTGCGTGTAATCACTCTGGGAGCTTGTAAAAAACTGAACGCGAGCCCAACGTGTGGACGCGGCGGCCAAACTCAGCCAACAATCTTTTGTAAAAAACCGACACCAAACGGATCTCGCGCCAGCTTGTGG